AACCATAAATGTCCAGAAATGAAGTTATTTGTAATAATGTGGAATGGCACAGGGAAAAAGTATTGAACACACTTACTGAAAATTACATCTATGCTTCTAGGTCAGCCATGCCGCTGCAGCCTTTCTCCTTCCCTGTCCCAGAAACACGTTTTTTAAAGGCTGGTAGTTTAATCTACAAGTTCAAGATTAAAGGAGGAACCAGCTACAGGTAAGACAGACATACAGTCTACGACACATAAACTCAAATCAAATAAATCAGCTAATAATGTTTCCATCTCCCCAAAATCTGAATTAATGATCCAATACTTTTATAAAGACAAGAATCTAATTTAATGTTCTAAATATATTTTATCAGTGAAGATAAAGATTTTAAAGGAGAATGCTTCAATCAAGAACTGGAGGTAAATATTAATGCTGTCAGTAACATAATTAAATGTGTTAATGTTTGTTTTATTTTAACTTGACCTCTTATTTGTGTTCAGGACGTCATCAGAACAGTTCTTGGTAATCTGGACCATCTGGAGCCCTTTTCCACCGCCCGCCACATCGTGTTTCCTTGTATCTGTGACCTCGTTTTGTCTGTCATTCATTCTAAACATAATGATTTTCTGCACTTTTTGATTAGAAAATTGTTTGACGTGTCAGTAAATATTCCAGTTCAGGTTTAGATGTTTGTAGCTGCCCTTACAGATGATAAATTTTCTGTTAACCACATAAATCTCAGACAAGAGCCCCTGGGGAAAAGTACACAAACACACCACGAAGGAAAGGAAACTTTACCCGTTTATCATCACCCTCTACATGGAGAAGAACATGCACAAAAGTGAGTATATAATATGAAAATACAGTAAAAACTGTATTCTTAATTACTGAAAAATACCAAGTAAATAATGGTGGAGAGAAGTGTTTTGTTCCCATTTTCTGTTTGTATTTCATTATGTATTTTTGAATCAGTAGATGAGCCTTAATTTAAAATGAGTCCTGATTCTGTGGATGTTCAGGTAAATCATCTAACACAAGTTTGCTTATCTTGTTTCAGGGAAGCGACCAGAGGAGGTGAGTTTATTATAAAACACCACAAATGAAAACCGTGAGAATACAGATTTAGATCTTGTGTTTTTTGTTGATGTTTGTCCAGTATTATATCAAAAATAAAGAAAATATATATGTATGGTATGAGTAATATCAAAGTGCATTAATGTAACATGTATACAAATCAGAGCTTTGTAAATGGTTCATGTTTTTTTATGGAAAAGGAGGAAATGCGACACATCTCCAGTGTTTCTGAGTCTCGGTCAAAACGCTGTTGCAGAGACTCGCCACTAGAGGAGGCCATACTAAAGGAGTTCAGCAGAATGGAAGGTGAAAACAGGTAAATGTCCAACATTTACTGTGATGCACCTGAAGCTGTCAGTTATAGTTATGATAGGAGGGTTTAAATCAAATGTTTTATATTATTAGTTTTAAAGACAATTGAACAGTTGAATTTATAGATTAACATGAACTTGAAATTCAGATTAGATTATCTTTCAAGTGTGTTTCTTTGGATAGACCTGTTGAGAATATAGGTTTATGATTGACATCCATCCATCCATCAATTCATCAATCCCTCCACCATCCAACCATCACCCATCCATCCATCAATCCCTCCACCATCCATCCATCAATCCCTCCACCATCCATCCATCAATCCCTCCACCATCCATCCATCAATCCCTCCACCATCCA